CAGAAGAACGCATAAATAAGCCTATGGAAAAGATCAGTAGCATGGTTGAAGTTTGGTCAAAGACTTGTCATTTCTCAGCACGATAAAAAAAATTATAAATATAGAGGTAAACCACCACCCCACTACACTAGGCGAGTTACGAGATAGGGATGCTTGGGTCTCGACCATGCTTTGGAGCACTTTCTAACGAGGTCGGGCCCGAGGTTAGACTCGGGCCTCCCTCGGCAGAGGTACCTAGCCGCCAAGAAGGCAATCAGGAAGCACTCAGGAACCGCTCGTTCTACGCAGGCCCAGCTCGCTTGGCGGCGACCAGGAGACCAAGAGGCCGACCGGGTCCTCCCTGCGCATGCGCGTGACGCGGCGTGCGCATGCGCAGCGGCGCTGAAAAGCGTCAGCGCGTGACGGCGCGGGAGGCGCTGGTGTTGGGTGGAGGACCCAGTGGTCGGTCCGCGTGGGCTTACACGAGGTTAGAGGTCGTCTGGTGTGGCCCTGTGGGGCAGGGGGTGCCGGGGTATGGCCCCTGCGGAGTGGAGATTCGGGGGTGTGGTTCCGGTGCGAGTCGAGGCCCTATATGGGCCTCGGGCCCGGGACGGGCAGTGGAGGTTTGGGGTGCGGTGGCCTGCGGGTTTGCAGTGGGGCCCTAGGCAGAGTCTGGGGTGCAGGCCGGGTTCTTGGGGTCCGGATGGGGTCGCGTCCTCAGCTCTTTCTACCCACAGGTAGCTCGCGGCGTCCGGCCGCGCAGGCGCGCTCAAGATGTCGTACATGCTTCCGCATCTGCACAATGGCTGGCAGGTAGACCAGGCCATCCTTTCGGAGGAGGACCGCGTGGTCGTCATTCGCTTCGGACACGACTGGGACCCCACTTGCATGAAGATGGACGAGGTTCTGTACAGCATCGCCGAAAAGGTAACGCATGTGCAGTGTTCGTCCTGCTGGGCCCTGCAGCGCGGTTTGGACTCGAGATTCGAGCCTGAATGCTGATATTCATGCAGACCAATGACCCACAGAGAGACAGAATTCATGTACTCGTAGGTTTGTGCCAGAAATGGTTAGTTTCTTAAAATTTAAAGAAGTTTATGATCTTCCTCCTAAAATAAGTGATTCATTGTGATGATAAATTTTTGGTTTTGTTTTTACGGAAGGGAATTGTCCTGAGATAGGTCTTGTATATAATCAGACGGACCTTGAACTCACTGCCTCAGTCGCTTTAGAATTCTGGGATTACAGGGCATCACTGTGGACCGTGTTTTTAAAAGAATTGACTAGGGCCAGATGCAGTGGCATATGCGTTTAATCCTAGCACTCTAGAAGCTGAGGCAGACTGATCTTTTTGAGTTCCAGGCCAGTCAGGACTATATAAGACCCACTCTCCAAAACAAAACAAAAACTGTTATATTATCGTGTGTGTGTGTGTGTGTGTGTGTGTGTGTGTGTGTGTGTATGTGTAGTGAACAGAATGATTTTGCAAGCTTTGTTGAGTGTGTTGGAGCTTACTTGAGTAGCTTAGTTTAGTAGTTTTGGCCTTTTCTTGATACTTAACGAATTTATTGTACATATGAAGCAGAACTTTTAGGTTAATACCATGGTAAACTTTTTAGCGCCCCCCCCCCCTTTTAGGGGAGAGGGAAAAGGATTCATGGTGTAGCCCAGAGGGACCTTCAACAAATACAAAAAGTGTTAGGAGAAAGTAGAGTTGTGTTTGGGTAGAACTGGTGTTCTTAGTTTTCCATTTTTATAAGCTGGGTGGCAGTACTTATTTCCAGACACTAGAAGTGTAATTGTCAGGTATTGTTACATGATTAGGAGGTGAATTCTCGTTCTTCGAAAATTCCTCTTCAGTTTTAGGATGACTTAGTTGTTTTTTTTTATGATTGTAACAGTAGGGCAAATGGAAAAGACTAATATTCAATGCTACTATTCCATAACTTGAATATTCTTTTCTTTCTTATTTATTTGAGACAGGACCTCCCTACATAGCCCTGGAACTTGTGTAGACATATGTTTACATGTCTTTAGACCTCGAAGACAAATCTACTTGCCTCTGCCTCCACCTTCCAGTGCTGGTTTTAAAGGCGTTTGCCACCATGCCTAGCCTGAAAGTTTGTGTTAAAGAAGAGTTAGCAATGATAGAAATGCTGTAACTATTTTCCCTCTCACCGATGCTAACGAATGTTGGCTTACAGTAGTTCTTGTCTTTGAAATGACTTCTGCCACAGGATTGTCACTGTATTTACTCGAGCTGTAAGTGAGACCAGGGTCTTGGGCATTCTAGTCAGGTGCTCTGCCACTGAACCACAGTCACCATGCCAAAGAAATTCTCTATAGTAAGACACAGGGGTGTGTGTGTGCAGGAAAAGCAACATTATTCGGCTTTCTGTTGATTGGTTGGTTGCTTTCTGCTTTCATGTTTAGGAGAGAACAGTGGAGGACAATTCTGGCATCCAGTTATTGCAAGTGTCATTGGGAGTGCTTCTGAAGTGAGTCTCAGGAACACTGTTGGTCTGGGCTGAGGCCCAGAAATCCTTATTAAAGAGGCCTCCAGGGAATTCAGGAGTTCCTCGGTGGAGATTAGCTTCTGAGTAGAAGTGTTTCTCAGCCCTGCCCTAGTCCTCTTGGACTCCAGGACAGTGAAGATCTGAAGGTGTCACTGGGGGCTAAAGAGGGCAGCACTTCTCTCTCATGCAGGCTGTCCTGCCAGTCAGGCTAGAGGTACAAATGAGGTGATTGGGTCCCTCAGACGAAGGCAAACACAGATTTACTGAAGCGTTACTATAAGCAACTCACTGTTGAGTCTGCTTTAGTTGGGGACAGCTGTCCTTTAACTGTTTTGACCTGAAGGTGGTTTGAGCAGCGTCAGGTAGGGTTTCCTGTCAGGATGCCCTTGGCATTTCCCAGCTAAACAGAATTTAAGATTTTCCTGTGCTTGTTGTCTCACTGTGCTACTCAGGTGAAAACAGCACCTGCCACCCTACTTAATAGACATACACTCTATTTGGTGTTGGGTTCGTTAGTCCCCTTTGACAATATTTCTTTTAGTCTTAGTTGCATTTTCTTTTGTCCAAAAATGTGATTGCATTCTTAATGAGCTTCCCCTTTCCCCCTTAATAACTCTGTAGCACTACCATGCTAGCCAGGTGTCCTATGCCCATCCTCCTCAGTCGCTTGCTCTTCACCTCGTTATTCACTGGAGGCAGGGTCTTTCCTTAACACTAGAGCTTGCCAATAAGCCTAGTCTTGCCAGCCAGCTTGCTCTAGGGACCCCTGTTTTCCATCTTCTAGGACTAGAATTAAGGTAGGCCATCATGTCTTCTTGGTATTTATGTGGGTTTCTGGGGGTCTGAACTTGGGTCCTGCAAGTTCTTTAGCCACGGAGCAATCTTTTTCATATCCTTAATAAACTTTTAATACTATGTTTCAGTGTAGTTATTAAAAATGTAAGTTTGAAATACATGAAAATCACCATTGTTTACTTTCTTAGTATAATGGCAAAATATACATTCATAATTTTTGAAACTCCAGGGAGCATTCAACATAAATTTTGAAATTTAAGATTTTAGTATAAAGAACAGTATAACTATTTAAAAATCTCCCTCCGCAGAAATGGAAGATAGTGGGAGATCTTCCTCATCTTGTATGAGTCCTGTTTGGATATCCCAGCTGTTTTAAAGTGAGTAAAAGATGTGTGTGTTCAGGCTGGACTTAAGTCCCTGTTCTTCTAAAATATGTTGCTTTAGCCAGCGTGCTGCTTCCTCTTGCAGTGCGCATTTCCAGTGATGCTGGAGTTACTGAGTTCAATACGTAAGGAAGAAAGGAGGTAGGGAACACACATACTTAGATCTAGGGCTTACTGAGTAAGTTCTCTGTAAAATGATGTCATGCATGCAGTTTTGAAGAAAGATTATTTCATGTACCTGTGATCTCTTTACCCATGGAGTAGGAATATACTTTTTCAACAAAGTGCTTTTAGAGATCAGTATTCCCTTAATACTATGACATGCAAACATGGTTAGACAGTTTTTGTAGACTAAAAAGCCCCAATAAATGGCATTTAATGTCTTCAGGGATATATTGAAATGTGACGATATGTTCTGAAAGAAACATTGTGGCTGCTGAGACGGCTCACCAGATGGAGGCACTGCCACAGACTCCACATCAAAGTCAAGAAAAACCAATTCGCTCATTTGTTCTCTGATTCTCTGACCTATACACACACTGTGCGTACAAATACATGACAGTTTTAGAAAACTACCCAAGACAAATAATGTTTTATAGGGCTTTTAAAGAATAATAGGGAGCCTGTCTTGTACAAGACAGTAAGATGTCTTGTTTGAAAAGCATGTTCCCCTTGCTTTCTAAAGTTCTATAGCTGTGGGAAATAAATCAACTGGGCATAAGCAAAGCAGTGTGTTTCCATTTTGTTTTAGATTTCCAAAATGCTTTTTGGAGGAAAAAAAGTAGTGGGCATCCACTTGAATGTCAGCTTTATATAAAACAGGTGGAAATTTTAGTGGCGTGTACATTGATAAATGGATGACGGTAACAGGAGGAACTGCTGCTGATCTGTATCTTCTTACCTTCGTGGACGCAGGAGCCAGAGTCTAGGCAGCCCCTTTTTGAGATGCTTTGCACACACAGCTGGTACAGATAGAATCCAAGAAGGCTCAGAAGTTAGCAGGGGGCCAGGGAGGTCTGATGCTGCTCTAGTACCTTCTCTAAGTCCCGCACTGTGTGTATCCCCATCCTCACCAGGATTGTAGTCTTTGCCGAGACTACAAGGTCTTGTTGGATAAGAGCATCTCAAAGCATGAGTACAAAGTTAAGGTTATGTAGTTACATTAAGGCTGTTTATCCAGGACTATCTGATAATCCATACTCTTCAGAGATACATTTGTATTGACAGTGCTGTGTTTCTTGAGTTTTGAAATACACCTTTGTGTCAATTCCTCGAGGCAAACGGTGCTGGTGTCGCTTGTGCTCTGTGGCATCCTCTCTGATTCTGCGGAGTCTGACAGGCCTATCTGCCGCCAATATGAACATCCGCCGGGCTCGGCCAGATGACCTTATGAACATGCAGCACTGCAACCTGCTCTGTCTGCCTGAGAACTACCAGATGAAGTACTATTTTTATCATGGCCTCTCTTGGCCCCAGCTCTCCTACATTGCTGAGGATGAGGATGGGAAGATTGTGGGTTATGTCCTGGCCAAAATGGAAGAGGATCCTGATGATGTCCCTCATGGACATATCACCTCGCTGGCTGTGAAACGCTCCCACCGGCGCCTTGGCCTGGCCCAGAAGCTGATGGACCAGGCCTCCCGGGCCATGATTGAGAACTTCAGTGCTAAGTATGTATCCCTGCATGTCAGGAAGAGCAACCGAGCAGCTTTGCACCTTTATTCCAACACCTTGAACTTCCAGGTTAGTGAGGTCGAGCCCAAGTACTATGCAGATGGAGAAGATGCATATGCTATGAAGCGAGATCTCTCGCAGATGGCGGATGAGCTGAGACGGCAGCTGGTGCTGAAGAAAGGCAGATACGTGGTTCTGGGTTCCAAGGAGAATCAGGGTAGTACACTTCCTGGTTCTGAAGAGGCCGAGCAGCAGGAGAACCTGGCTGGAGGTGACAGTGGCAGTGACAGCAAAGACGGTACTGATGTCCAAGACAGCTTGCAGACCTTTGGGTCCACCTCCTAGAGCCTGCCTGAGCACTACAGGTCCTTGTATTTTAGCCACATTGTTCTTGGGAACCTTGGTCTGCAGTCCCTGCTTTGAGCTCATCTCCTGGTGACCTGAATGGCTCTCCTTTCAAAGCTTAGCAGCAACCTTCTGCATGACCTACCTGTGTGATCCTGGAGCCACACCTGGACACAGAACCTGCTGTGCAGGAGTCAAGGAAGCCTGAGGACTGCCGTGCAGCACCTTTCTTGGCTTCTTCATGCTGCCATCAGATTCTGTTCAGTACTGTTCTAATTGTGTGTATCCTGCAGGTTTCCACCTGGAGTGCCAAACAGGAAGTGGGGACAACTCAAGAAGATCCCCCAGCTTTCAGCCTTTGCCATTATTTATCTGGTTTTTTTTTTTTTTTTTTTTTTTTTTTTCTTGGAGTAGGCAGAATCATCAAGTTAGTCCTCATGCTGTCTGCCCCTGTTGGGTGAAGTTACCTCCTTTTGCTTTCTGTGGCCTGCCTGGCCCTGCCCTGCCCTGCCCTGCCCTGCCCTGCCCTGCCCTGCCCTCTTTTTGAAGAAGAATGTTCCCTTTCCCTTGGGCGAAGGTGATGTTGGACTAATACCAAAGCAGAATTTGTAGATCTAATGAAAGGACAAGCGGAAATTAAATTGCAATCTCTAACCTGAAAAAATAAAAATACAGAAAGGAGTCTACTTGTGGTAATTCATTGGTCAGTCCTTACCTAGTGCTTTGGTTTAGTCTCAAGAGCACCTCTACGGAGGTAACATGTTCTACTTTATGGGGCATCGGGTTGAGCTGAAGAGTTATAAAACAGCCAAGGTTTTCATTTTTAAGAAGACATGATTCCTCTTACCAGTTTCTATATGCAGGGGACTGGAGAGTCTAATTGGTTGTAAATAATTAAAATAATCCCCATTCTGACCTTTCATGAGATTGGTAGTTAATTCTGTAGAAGGCAGGTTAGTCTTTCCTTTATTAATAATTTAATTTTAACTTTGTTGTAATGCATATGAAATGAGCATTTCTGCTTTATGACACTTAAGATGTTGACAGGCCGTTAAAAATGGGCAGATTAAGCTAGTGGTGGGGCACCCCTTTGATCCCAGCTCTCTGGAGCTAGAGGCAGGCAGATCTTGAGGTCCAAGCTAGTCTGATCTACGCAGCAAGTCCTGGGCCTGCTGGGACAACCAGGTAAGATCTTGTCTTAGCCAAACTCTTGCCAGGACACTGGGTCTTTGGTTTGTGATGTTTCCACCTTAGCCCCTCACCTCAGCGCCCTCTAGGAAGATCAACAGGTCCGAGCTGTCCTGCACATGACCTTTCATCCACAGAACAGAAGGCTGCTAGACACTTCCCACCTAATTGTCTCTTCCTGTCTTGTCTTCCAGGGACGACTACTCCCCTGTTTGCCCAGGAGTCAGGCAGAGCTTTTTAGTCTTGTCTGACTTCAGTTTTCAGGGACCGTAACACAGGTGCCTCCTTATTGATTGGGCTTTGGTGTCTGAGATTCCATTGTGGGCCCCGAAGCATTGGCTGTGTCACTAGTAGGTCTCTGAGCCTACATTTCCTGTTGTGCAGTGACTACTAGCCCTCATGCTTTCCCCTGTAAAGGGCTTCTACACTAACACTGAAGTCCCAGCATCACTGTGCTTGGGGCTGGTTGGAAGCAGATGGTGGCCATGACGTGGTCTTCCCCAGCCCAGCCTCAAGTTCATCCCAATCAGTACCTAAAAGCCACAGTCAGGTGCCTACCAAGACTGGCCTGTGTTTAGGGCCTTGTAAATAGGCTTCAAGAAGACATTCCTGATTCTGCTTTCTCATGGAGAAGCTAGCTAATGGGATTTGACTGGTGTCTTTTGACTGTCTTGTCTTGTTTTGAGACAGGGTTCTTTTGCATGACCTACCCCTGGAACTTTGTAGACCAGGCTGGCCTCCATCTTCCTGCCTCTGGCTCCCAGTCCTGGGATCGAAGTTGATGCCACTGCCCAACTATATCTGTCTTTATAGATGGAGCTCTCTTTACTGAATGGCTCCCACCCTCCACCTCAGACAGAACAGTGTCTTCATGACTCAGGAATTCTTACCCAGAGGCATCTGGGGCAGACCTGGGTGCAGTTTCAGTTCTGCTGTTTCCCCTGGGGCTTTGAACTTTAAATTCTTGATATGTGAAACACTGACAGTCTCAGACTATTAAAAGAATTAGAATTCATGATCAAGAAGTTCCTTGTATGTGGTAGGTTCTTAGACACTTTGAGTCAGTCTGCCCTGGAATGTTTATGTAAGTCCTTATAGTATTTGTGTTTGACTTGGAGTCTGTCTAATGATGATGGGTCAGATTAAGCTTGGAGACAGGAGACACATTTGTGTCTTCAAGGACGTTGGTGTTTATTGAGGTGCTCTCCCTGGTATTAAAATGGTTGTGCAGTTGGTACATAACTGTATGATCCTGGACAAGTTGAACAGAAAATGGAACACAGCCTCTGCTCCTAATCAGATGAATCCATGGCCTCAACTTCTGTAGTGAGCTAGTTTCTTTTTAAAAAATACCAGAATGGGATGTGTTTACTAAGGAAGCCAGATCCTGGTAACTTGGCTGATGATTTCAGCATGGATACGATGGGAAAGCAGAGTTTCAGAAATACCTGTCAGTGAACTGAGATCCAAGAAAGATGTGCCTGACACGAGAGGGAGCAGTGTTAATGGTTTCTAGAGTGAATATAAACAAAGCACACATCCCTCGTGCCCATGATGTGCAGATGGTAATGCACACATCCTTCATGCACCGCGACGTACACGACATGTGGACAGTGAGCACAGACATGCAGTGTACCGTGTACCACAGCTAAGAGCTTACTAAAGCTGAAGACAGGTGCAGTCCTTGTTAGTATAAACTCACTTTATGATTGAATTTCCTTGCTGACTTTTGGAATATTACCAGCAATAGAGTGCAGCCAATGCCTGTTACACTGGTCATCAGAGCACTCTCGAGCTCACCTTTGTGCTGTCCCATTGGAAGCAGATCCCAGGTGACAGGTTACTCACCATGAACTCAGTTACTAAACTGGATTTCTGGGTTGGGTTTGTTGTTTTTGAGGTTCAATCCAGGGCATTGCATATGCTAGGCAAGTGCTCCACTGGCCTACATATAAGGTAAGAGGGTTTTTTTGTTTTGTTTTGTTTTTTGTTTTTGTTTTTCAGATAGCTTGGTGGGGGAACACTGGGGATTGAACCTAGGACTTTGCACACTCTCACAAAGTACTATGCCCAGCTCAGCTGGTAGGTTTTAAGAATGTTAGCCATTAAGAAGTAAAGGAAATGGGTGTAATGGCGGATGCCTGCTATTTCATAACTTGGGGGCCTGGAACAAGAGGACCACAAGTTCAGGGTGTGACTGGGCTATAACATGAGTTCAAGGCCAGTCAGGGAAATTTAATGAGACCCTATTTTAAAATATAAGAAGCCAGAGATTAAGTTCTTTGGTAATCTGCTTACCTAGTAGGCATGAGGCCCTGGATTCAATCCAGTGCTGAAAAGGGAAAAAAAATCACTGAGGTATTAAAAGCCCGGTACGGTCTGTCCACACCTGTCATTCCAAATCCCAGTGCTCAGAAGCAGAAGGATCACAACTTCAAGATCCCCTTGGACTACTGAACAGATAAGAGGTCGTCCTGGGCTATATGTATAAGATACTATCTCAGGTAAACCCAAAACAAACAGGCTATGTGTGTGTGTGAGACACTGTGTGTATGTGTACACAGGCACCATAGTTTATTCCCTTTGTCATGTAGCCTTGAAGTTGTCAGGCTTGATGGCAAGAGCCCTTAGTGTTGTGCAGTCTTTAGTCTTCAGCTAAGGAAAGTGATACCAAGTCAACAGTATTGACACCTCAGGGATACTAAAATTACTTAGGAAAGAACATGGGGTCAGGCTTGGAGATATGTTCTTGTATGATCTGTGCCACCTAGTGACTTACTGTCTCTGAGGGCAACCTGCTAAGGTTCTCTTTAATATAAATTGAGGTAATATGTCAAGGAATAAGGAGGGTGAGTGTATACCAAGACGGTAAAAGTATTTGCCACATAAGCCTGATAACCTGAATTCAGTCCTTGGAACATCTCCATGGTGAAAGGAGAAAACTCCTAAAGTTGCCCTCTGTCCTTGTGCATGCTGGGCATACCCCTGCACCTACACACATACTCATGGTAATACATGTACTCTTTCTTAAAGGAAGAATGGAAAGTGGGAAATAGATTGGATGGTTTGTTGGTTGGTTGCTCCTGGTGCTTGCAAGCTATTGCTGGTGTCTTCAGCTTGTATACACATTTCCGGTTTCCATGTTTCCCAGTGGCTGTCATGTGGTCTTGTCCCTATAAATGGAGAGCAGTTGTGGATTTGGGACTCACCTCCTAGCCCTAACCTCATGTGGACCCAGGCTGACTTCATCTGTAGTGACCTTCCTAGAGTTGCTTCTCAGTTGGGGTTAGGAGTTAAGACTCTTGGGGCATATGACATGTCTAAGTCATGCCTTTATACAGTGCACAGAGCATTTTTAAGGGACACACCACACTCTGTCTAAGGCTGTTTAAAGGTTTATCCTTAGGAAGTATATACATAAAGTCAGTGTGCATAGTGGAATTATTGATGCTTTTAGGAACTCAGCAAGGAAACAAGCAAAGAGTGCTCCAACATGGCGTAGCCATCTGATGAATAACAGGCAGCTAAAGAGCAGTCTTTGATGGACAGGAATGCTTATAATGGAAGCAGAACACAGTATGATCATTTTTTGTTAACGTGTTTTAAAATATAGCTAGGAAAAGATAGGGGGAATTAAGCAAAAATATTAACAGCAATGGGATTTAGGGTGCTTTTAGTCTTTTAAAAATTTTTTCTAAACTGATAAATTTGGACTTGAAAATTACAGAAAATTCTAATAAATTGTAGAAAGTTTAGCATGCGGAATAATAACTATTAGCATTTGCAAGCATAGAAACAAGTAATTGAGCCGGGCGGTGGTGGCGTATGCCTTTAATCGCAGCACTTGGGAGGCAGAGGCAGGCGGATTTCTGAGTTCAAGGCCAGCCTGGTCTACAGAGTGAGTTCCAGGACAGCCAGGGCTACACAGAGAAACCCTGTCTCAAAAAACAAAAACAAAAAAACAAAACAAACAAAAAAAAGAAACAAGTAATTGGGGGAAGGTGGATGGTTGAGTTTGATATGGAATGAGTAATTGTCAAACCAGAAACTTATACAAAACTTACAAAAATGGCTCATGATAGGTGAGTGGGAGGGCTATGGGCATTTCCTGTAGGACTTTATTAACTTGGTGCCTGAGACAAGTTTAGTTCTTAAGTGACTTGGAAATGTCAGAGAGAGTTGTAAGTAGCATGGGTCAGAACCATGGTAGGACCATGTGGCTTCCCTTTGTCAGCTCTGTGGGACAAATATTTAGTAACTGGTTTGAAAAAAATGCCCAGTTCCACAGTCTTGTTTTTGCTTTAATTTACTTTTATAAAATGAAAGCCGATTTGACCTCTTATTTCAGTCTTTCAAATCTCTTTCCAGGTTAAGAATTTTGCAGTTATTTATCTTGTGGATATCACAGAAGTGCCTGACTTCAACAAGATGTACGAGCTGTATGACCCGTGCACTGTCATGTTCTTCTTCAGGTCTGTGTCCAAAGCTGCTGCCTAAG